GGTAAACCGGAAACGATACCGATATAATAATTATGAAGTCTTGTCGAATATTGTTTAAATATAAGTTCCAATTTAATATTATATTAATTTTAAATAGTTATTTTAAATAATTAATACTATCAAAATCGATAACTTTAAAATTGTAATTGATAATTCGATATGGGAATGATTTTGACTCGATTGACACGCCGTTGGACAAAATGGCGTGTGTGGGGGCGCATAGGAGCGCCGGCGGCGATAGCGAAAGGAACGTGGAGAGAATATTGTAATTTGTGAGGATAGCCTGGTTAACTGAATAAAATTGTTCATCGAAGCAGTGGAATTAATTCGAAGACCCCTTTTGATAATCATTTCTAATAATCCACATCACGGCACTGGAATGAAAGTATATGGTGTAAAAGTTCTTTTTATGTTAACATGGTTGTTCAGTCCAGTGGGTTGTATTTTTCTAACCATTTATCTAGTTTGATTTGATTTTGATTACTGAGCTCATTTATGGTTTAATTATTGTTTCAGTTGCCATCATCATCTCGTGTGTGTCATAATTTCTGGCGAAGGACTAGATAGCTGATAGAGCAGCATCACATTCACCTGAAGCCCGTTAAACCTCCGAACCATCTAGTCTGTCCTCGTTACAATCTGAAGTAGCTAGCATTGCATCCGGAACAACAAAGCTTAGATACATCAGACAGTATACTGCTGCCTAATTATGTAAGAGCATCAACCACACAAAATCAATGTTTTTTTCCTGGTTGTTTTGATTCCAATCGACTCAAGGTACATCGGTATTGCAAGTATGTCTTTTTTGTGTGTACAATTATTATGTTCCTCCAGAATCTAGAATCTAAAACTACCATTCATATAGTAACTCTTGGGATTTACTTTTAGGATCAATTTCTAATCCTATTAAAACAATTAGTGCAGCACAAATTGTAGATTTTGCTACATTATTGAAAGATAATATGCTCAATAATTTGTACTTCGATAATATTCAGAGTATGCCTGACCATACTCTACATTATTATCTAGGCTTAACAATAGGACAATGCCAACAAATTCTGTCTGAAGTTCCGAGACTTTCAAGTAAAGATAGGGGTTCTTTTGCTCTTGCTGCTTATTTGATGAAGATAAGAACAGGAGATAGTGACGAATGCACAAGTGCAAGTGCCAAGAAGCACGTTAGTGCGGCTCATGAACATGGCACGCAAAATTTTAAATCAGGATTTTTTCCCGAGCAGAAATAGCTCAAAGAAACCTTTTAACTCCAAACGGACTTTATGGGGGTGAAGATAGGAGGGGGCCCATCATAATTACCGATGGTACATATATATTTACATTGAAAAAGTTCTAATTACTTACATCAAAAGAAAACTTACTCATTACACAAATATTGCAATCTCGTAAAACCTTTCCTTTTGTGTATACCGATATATTATAGATGTTCTTGGCCCTTATCCTGCAACAAACTTAGATGCAGATATCATAAAAAATTAATTTGTTTATAAATCCAGTTTATTAAGGCAATACTTTGATTCTGGAGATGTATTCATCCTAGATAGAGGTTTTTTGTCTCTTTTAGAGCATTGTGGTTATCAGGTTCATGTACCTTTGTGTGCAGAAGATGGTGAATCACAGTTAACAACAAGAGATGCTAATAAGTTCAGAGCCGTGACTTTGTATCGGTGGGTAGTAGAGGTGGTGAATGGCATTTTTAAAACACGATTTATAATATTTCGCCAAAACCATTCACTACAACAGGGCTTCTACACATTTGATGATATTCACTGTGGATGCTGCCCTAATTAATATATTCCACACAAAAATAAAGGACAGGGATGATACAGCTCAAATGCTAGAAATAGTTCATCAGAATATGGAAACAAATAATGATTTATCCGAATATGTTAGGGAACGCAAGCAATCAATTAGAGCTAAGGCAGACTTTAGAAATATAAACGTAGGCTCCAAAAATTTCAGGGAATTTCCTATTTTAACTTACAGCAACTTAGTACTAATTGCTTGTGGTACATACCAATTAAAGCAAGCTCGCTCGTATTATGGTGAGCATATAAGAGTTAATGGTTGCTGCAGGAGCAGCATTATGGAAGGAATACACCTTAGTCCTAACTGCTCTTTACATGGGGCTAGCATCGCAAGTCGACACATTAGTTGAAAAATATATTTTATATATATATTTTAATTAGTGGCAATGATTCTGGCAGAAGTGCAATTAAAAAGTATTGTTGTAATTGTATTGTTGGCCCTCGAACGGAAGGATACTGTGCCCATATAATGACATTAATATGGTATTTGGGTTCGGCACGATATCAGACTAATGTTTTCCCTCCAGCTCAATTCCATGATGATGTACTGATTGTGTATGATACAAAATCTGTATGAGATCATTAAATACCTAACAGAACTATACAAAACTTGAAATTGTATGTGTATTACAACAAAATGATGAATAAACAAAAATTGCTAAAAAACTGTCGGTAGTTCTGAAAATTAAAATCATTTTAAAATCCGGATTTTTTTATACTTTAAAATGAATATTATCATTTCATTTTCATTTCATGTCTGTTTGACTGTAACAGTCAGTATTAAAGCGTTATTTACAAAGAAGTTACAGTGGGTTGAAAACGTCCTGAATGGCCTTAAGAAAATCATGGTGCCTTTGTTTTTGCTTATTACTTGCACAACATTTTTATCAACCACCTCATACATGATTGGAGTAAGTTTAGAGGCTTGACTTCAGTGCAGACAAGGCTCAGCACACAGCGTGTGGCTGAACGTCGATCGTCTTATTAAAAGGTTACTGATTAAAAGCTGTTGAACGATGCCTCCTTTTTACACGCTTTATATTAGTTTGTTTGTATGTTTGTAACCGACTTCTTTGGGCGTGATTTTGACTGACTTTAAACGTTCAGTTTTCATTCAAACTTTGTAAATATATCGAGGACCGATGACAATACACTAATTAAAAAAAAAATATATATATATATAGTTTTAAAAAACTAAAAAAAGCACCCCACGCTTTTTTTTCAAATTTATTTTATATTTTTTAGTTTGGTTTTCTATAGAAAGCGTGTTTTTTAGTTTTTTTAAACTATAATTTTTTATAGGCGCGGATTGCACACCGTGTGATTTAGTCAGTTCAATGCTAACATACCGCCTCACACGAAAACCCTGGTGGGGTTATGTGATGACCCAAGGGGGTTTACACGCGTACAAAATATAGTTTAGAGGCCAATGCAAATATTTCTAGAGTACTTCTCTTCTCCTAAACAGTGCATATTATACATTCAAAACATGCTGGAATTGATGTTCTATACAAATATGGCCGTCCTCGACATCTATAGTCATCAGATACGGTTGTGTTTGATATTTGAGACACAAAGGAAACTTGTAATGGTTTCCGAGCATCATCGTGACAGTGAAAAAAAAACATTGTGCGTTTCATAATGGACCACAAAGGATATTTAAAAATTATAAGGGATATTACTGATTTAGATACAACCAGCTTTTAGTCTCTCTCGGTGAAAGTAACTTTTTAGTGATGATCGTACTACCGTAACATTCTTTTCTGTGTCCTTTTCTGTATGTTTTATAAAGAAGTGTTTGCATTTCATGATGATCAGTCTTAGGGCATTAATGCTCTAAGTGATTAGTATACTCCAGTTAAGCCGTGAAAGCTTGATAAACAAACTCACTTTCGCATTTATAATAACTTCAGTCAGGAATATGACGACATCGCACTTTACGCTATTCAATAAATTTATTCTCGATTTATGTGTATTTCAATAATTTATTAAATGAAATCAAAGTATGTCAGTATTTGATAAATTTCATTCGTATCGGTATGAAATGTGAGTCAGGTCGTAACCGCTGTGAGTCGTTCTTGGGTAAATCCAGTACCGCCTTTATCATCAAGGGGTCCTCGAAAAGCGAATACACAGAGCGGAATATTCGCTTACACTTTTTTCCTATTTTAGATCGATCCGAATCCGACAAAAAAATGTTTAGGAGGGCTTAGTTAGCGACTTTGTGGCAACCCTGAGCAATGACAACCCAATGACATTGCGGAGTGTGTCAGAAAATGTGGCATTGCGGAGTGTGTTTTTTATTTTATTATTATTTATTAATAGGCGATTTTTATTTTCAGTAACTAGGTACGAATAAGTATTTATATAATTACCTACAGCAAAAAAAAATTGTTTGTTATATTGATAATATAATAGTTATGAGAGATACCTAAAAACTACATATACTACAACTGCTCAACAGGACCGATACATACAACTGACTGCAAGTCGTCAGCTGATGTTAACCGCCCAGGAGATAGGTTTAAAGCTACATTCTCAAGCGTGTTGATGTAAATCACCAAAACGTTAGAAAAAGGCTGTATGAATACAGCCTACAAGCATGTCGCCCAATTAGGTGCCCAACTATACGCCATGCGAATCGCGCCCGTAGGTGACGAACGGTGTAGGGAACGAATGGTGTGGGGTACACTTGACATGGACCCAGGAGCAATGGGATAAAATTTTATTTTGCGATGAGTACCGGTTTAGATTTCGACATAATACCAGAAAGGTAAGAGTGTTTGTGAGAATGGTAAGAGGTTTTGATGAGTGTATTTGTATCTGTCTATTCATTTTGTTTTACTGTCCAACAGGCCCCCCCTCCGGCATTGTCTATGACAGCCTTGGGTGAAATACAATATTTCTAAATAGTGTTGATGTTAGTATAAAAGGTTAGATCAACATTTCTATACTATTATTAAATGTTTTTTTTTTCAGGATTCATTTAAAATTCTTTTTAATTCGATTAGATAAAAAGTAGGTGTTTCGGTGATAAAAAATCGGTATAGCCAAGTCTTATCTCTAACAAAACTCTTTCTTTTGTGTTGCTATCAAAAATGAGCAATCACTCAGGTCTTACTAAACATATCAATAACATTTAAGTTAATCCAGGCTAGAAAAAATGTTTTACCATACCTGTACAGAGCTACTTGGATGTGCGTCTTCTGCGCCCCTGGCTGCCCTCTGTCGTTCTTCTTGAACCGCTTCTCGCTTCATACCGCATGCTAGACATTTCTGATATCGGCAGTATTGGCACCGATTTCGCTGGCGTTTGTCTATAATACAGTTTCTTTCTTCTCGGCAGGCGTACGTTAGGTCTTTTCGAACTGTCCGTTTGAAAAAGCCCTTACAACCTTCACAACTGAAAGGGTAAATTTATCGTTAATTATACTTAGATATTACGGCTGCAGCTACATCCCACTTTGCCAAGTTTGCAACTAAATTGATTAACTGAGTGTGACTATGATATTTACTCTTAATTGGGTTTTCGTACGTAAATAAGAATAATTGCTTAGCACTCAAATTACTCGACGTGATATTTTAAAATAATTGGTTCGGTGTAAATGTAGTTTCATTTATCAGATATCCTGTTTCCAGAAGCTGTGGATAATTTCGAGATAAAAGTATCCTGTTAAACACTTTTGCCCACAAAGGGCTGATATGGCTCAACAGAAATTATTATTAAAAAAGCGGTTGGTCAAACTTCTAACATGTATTGAGCAGACAACAATGATAACATAGTGTAAGGCGGCCCGAATGCCCTTTGTGTTTAGTAAGCCCGAGACATTAAGTAGTAATAACCTTCCCATAAAAGAACGTGTTATTTGCTGTAAACATAATTATTAATAGTTATAATACGTAATTTATCCCAAATCAGCAGTAGGGAGTTAGTTTAGGTGGCTTATGCGTATAGTAAAAAAAAATACTATGTACTTAACTCTGTTTTCAGTTCAGTTTTCAAAGTAATTTTTAATATTGTTTGGTCTTTATCTATACTAATATTATAAAGCTGAAGAGTTTGTTTGTTTGTTTGTTTGTTTGTTTGTTTGTTTGAACGCGCTAATCTCAGGAACTACTGGTCCGATTTGAAAAATTCTTTCAGTGTTAGATAGCCCATTTATCGAGGAAGGCTATAGGCTATATATCATCACGCTAAGACCAATAGGAGCGGAGCACCAATGAAGAATGTTTCAAAAACGGAGAAAATTTAGTACTATTGAGAGACGCAGACGAAGTTGCGGGGGTCAGCTAGTATGTGATAAAGCCTTTATTTATTGGGGGAGATAATGTTAGTAAGGAAATGACGAAGAAGAAGCGTACGATCACTCGTATGCTTCCAAACCCTGGACATAACAGTAACGGACTTCTTAGAGCTGCGCGGTCGAAACCTCTAAAAAACTTGCTGGCGGAATCACTGCTGCTAGATTAGTTCCAAACTATTATTCAAAGGTGCTTCAGCAAAACGCTCTTGAGATTTTATTCTTCACACTATAATATTCTTATGTTGCCCTCCACGATGTGGTTCTGAGACAGGGAACCCTTTCTGAACAGCGTGCCTTAATTGTGTAGGAGAAGTCATTAGAAGGAAATTGACCATAATATATTTTCGTCATCTTAAGTAAAAAAATTTAAGGTGTGTCAAACCAGTCCAATTTTTGTGCTCATTATCATATATGGCGTTACTAGTAATAAACATTCTATATTTTAAGCTTCTAAATATGTCCATATGCGATCAAAACATTAACATTTTATATTATCATTTATTTTGGCTCGTCATTAAACACTAAGTAGTTATGTCATGGATAGATCATACGTATAATATAGTGAGATTAATAAATACCCCACTTTTCCCTAATTTTTGTATGTTTTCTATATTAAAATTACAAATTATATCGCTATATTATATAATCTTGGTCAGTTAATTCAGACCTCTAGGTTTATCAGAAAATCAAGTTACACATTTAGGTCACAACTGTCCTGAACGACACTGAGAATAGGATAGTGTGGCTGTTGTGTCTTTATGTTCTTGCCCTTTCCTCAATTTTTAATTAAAATTATCGACTAGAGTAGATAATGTAAAATTACATCCTTACCACAAGTATTAATTTACTACTAAGCAGGTTTTCGCCAGTACGTTCTAGAATAGAACAGAATAAACTTTATTGTACACCAGTTTAGTACATCGTACATAAAAGAGCACATCAAATTAATGAGAATGTAGAAATGGCGGCCTTGTCGCTATAAAGCAATTTCTCACAGGTAACCTTTGAAATCGACTGTAGATAGGACGAATCCATAGGTAGGTGGTAAAAAAGGAAAAATGTAAAACAATCATAAAATATTTATAGAGCGAGGCATTTGATTTCGATAAAAAGTAAATAACAAAAGTAGTTCATTATGATGCAGTCAGTCTATTTACTATTATTAATTCTGTGTAGTCCCTTTTTTTTTTTTTTTTTTTTTTTTTTTTTTTTTTTTTTTTTTTTTTTTCCGTGCGGAAATCCCCTCGGATACCACCTGTCGGTGGCATGTCGGACTCGAACCGACTAAAACCGCACGCCTTCGCCGGGTACTAATAGCCGGGGAACCAGGTATACCCTAGAAAGGAAGGCCCTGGTGCCCCGACATACCTCGGGTCATCTACAGACGAGTAGACGACCCCCGCCCCGTGTTCTGTGTAGTCCCTAAATTTATATTTAGTCATAGAACTGCGAAGAATGCAACACTAATCAATTTAGAATAATGTGGTCTATTTCATAAGTAGTACCTACTTGCTTTAATTGGTTGAATTCATGTTGCCATAAACTCATCACAACACATTAATGATTTACTTATCTCTCATTATTATTAGGGGCAACACTACGTAAATATGTAATTTATTAGTGTTAGTATACTATTTCATTGGAAATATTCCATGACATGCCCTGCGGGAATATAGGACAGCGGCCGGCACTCGATCATATACCGTATTACGCCCTTGGTTCGCAAACTACATAGGTGTAGATAAATTAACTTAAATGTGACACAAGAAAAACTTTACTTTGTAATCCTCTTCTCTTTTAAATACTGTTCGAAATGTTAGTGTTTGAAAATGATCTGTTTGTACAATATATGTATTTTTCATTTTATTTTTCAATTTATTTGTCATTTTATGGAGAACAGAATAAGTAGACTTTAGATATCTAATCCATCTAAATAAGCTATATCTAAGCATTATTATGAATATGTTTAAACTGTGTAAAATGAATTGTTTTAACCTTTAAACCCGACATAAAGAAAAAGCCTCCTTTCATTATGAGACTAGTATGCTGGTCTCATTTTTTTTTAATAACATCACAACCTTGACCTGATGCTGCTACATTATCTGGAATCATCGGTAGACCCTATTCCTAACTATCTTATAGCAAAGTTATCGTTTTTTTCCAAATTAAGTATTTTGTATTTGAGGGTAGTTTACTTTTTCATAACTGTAATTTATAGAAAACCCGCTCACAATGGGCTACTTAACAACATCGCTAAAACCTAAAAATAGCTATAGGTAGGTACCGTAGTACAATGCACATCATACGATTCATTATGTTCTATGAACAACGGCTCGGTGTACAAGTGTGTGCAATAAAATACAAAGCCTGAATAAAATCAATATGAGGCCGGTCAAAAGAAACAAGCGGTTGACGGTGACGCATGTAATTCGCTCTCGGTCACCGTTAATGATATGATTGCGTATTGTGCCTTACACGTCGGTGCTTACATGTTTTGCAAATGTGCTAAGACTATTGATGGATTACACTTTCGCTTTTGAGCGACAAACCTTACCTATTATAGTCTACTAATATCTTATTATATAACATCCATCCATGATAGTTGCACTGGATAATTTATTGTGGAGGTAACCATAAAAGTGAAAACTGAACCGTTACAACAAATAATTCTCGCCTTTGCCACAATATTTATGAATTAGATAAATAATATTGTACGGGTTTGTAAACGAATATATTTATATTCTGTATTATAATTTCCATGACAAAAGTATGGAGCCGATTTACAGGCGTGGTCGGTCATCGTTGTCAAGTTTTTCAAAGTTTGCAAACATAGCTTTAAATCTTGCAGTTTAGAGCACTAAATCAACCAGTGTGCAAGCACGCATACTAAATAAATGAGGTAGGTATATTTATGAACTCGCAAAGAACGGTTTTATAGCCAAATTATTGTTTTAAAACGGTGAGATCCTTGTGATTAATGGCCAGATAAAATACTCAGGTATAATTTAGTTTTATATTCTAAATATTGCTGTATAATTGGGTAGCTATATTTTAAATTTACGCAGTGGGTTGTTTTACAAGAAATACAATTTGTCAACAATATGTACAAATAAACATTATGTTCAAAAATAAATAGCCGTCTTTATTACTAAAGGTGATTAAATTTGATGTGTGCACTAATGAGTATGATTGGAAAAGATGAATTAATAGATTATATGCATAATTAAACAAGGAAAGATATTACATTTTATTAACAAAATAATATAATTATACTTACAGAAATGACATCGTGAATTAATTTTACATTTAAATTATAATCGATTGAATAGGAGCGTAAAATTGAAAAGATAACACGTGCACATTATTTATTGTCGCTAATGGCTACATGTTTGTACAAGGCACAGTTTAAGTCTATATTTAATACGTATGTTACATAATATACGTATGGATCGCGTGTAAGGTTGAACCACCCTAAAGCTTTTGACTGCGTAAAATATCGTTTGAGGTAAATGAATATCAAATATACAAGGTTGATTTTCTAAAACCTTCTGAATTTTGTTTTAATACTTACCTAACTGTTGTAGGTGAGGTGATGTCATGTACTCAATCATATTCTATCAATAGTGTACAACGTGTGCTCAACTAAATTTCAATTTACGAGTAGTAAGTCAGGTCACGCATAATTATTCTTCTAAAGTAACAAAATTTCTAAAAGAATTACGCATGCAGTGAAATTTATATACATCAGAATTTCGTTTTACATTCTATTGTATTTTATGTGAATGTAATTTGCATAGTAACGGTCGATATTAACCGTAGAAATAAGAAGTACCAGACTTGGTACAAGTACAACCCTTTCTAGCTGTGACTTCATTACGACAGATAACAAGAGTTTCAAAACGTTTTTACTAGATTACTAGATTAAACTTATCTCTAACCTTTTTCTTAGTAAAATATATAATCTTGGTACAGTGTGTACGACGTGCCTAAAGTTGTAAGCTATGTGCATGGGCTACTAAAGGTAACCGTTTACTATTAGACTGGCGATCAGCTTGTCAATTTATCTATCTCAATTTACAGTTTACTTTAGGATAAACGCCTGTACTAAGACTGAAATGTCGATTTTGATTGAGAATGAACGGGTGTACTAAGACTGGAACATAAATTTTGCTTAAGGATAAACGTCTGAACTAAGACCGAAATACCGATTTGTTACCGAAGCACAATTGAATATTTCAATACATATTTGCAACGTTATTCGTTTAATAACTGAAACTATTGCTCCCGGAAGCTATTACCCAAGCTAGGTATATCCCCAATAATGTAATTCAAAAAACAGCTATGCGATAAAAATAGCATAACTCGAGCTCTGTTTATGTAGGTACATGCCTACCTACACGTGCCAAAGAACAAATTTACACATTACATATGTATTGCACGGAGCTAAAATAAACAAAACGCGGAATTGAGGGCATAGAGCAATATACAAATTATTATTCGAGATGATTGAAGTGACAACTAATAGGATATTTCAAATGTGAAACAAAATTGTCACAACATGTCCCATATTTCAGGTAGGTACAAGACGTTAGCTGTGTAAATAATGTGAAACTATTTTTACTGAAATGTCACACTTTTCTATATACGTACTATAATAGTGTTCATAGAAATACTCAGTAGGTATTCAATTATGTGTATATGATATCACGATGATTTCAATCGCTTTTTCTAGCCCAGTTGGATGTTCTAGATAAACAATCTCAAGTTTAGTTTAAAACTAATGTATTCTGCTACCTTTTAAATCCGATGCATATGATCTGACTCGTGATCTTTGAATCATCATAACAAAATATCAAATTAAAAACTGGCTTGAATAAAATTTTACCTTAATGGCAGCAGAATAACTAAAACATGCTACTTTACCATAGATAGAATAAAATCGTATCATTATGAGGTATTATTAAATCAATAGGTACCTACAAATCTAACCTGAGTAAAAATCTTATTCAACGCGTATTTTATGTCCCACGCCTCCAAGCTTGAATTAAAATGTTTAAAGAATAATGAGAAGGTGTAAAATCTTTAATTTTGCGCATGCCATAACATAATATCCATTTAACACGCAACTAGTAGATGTTGTATCTAAGCTACGGGTACACAGTGAACAGAATACAGACGTAGATCGTTCTTTTGGACACAGACACTACACTGGCAGACAGGTGTCTAGACGGCGGCATCTTTAGCTAGTTATTTCAACGTATAAAATACCTTGTGAAAGTAAAGGATACTCACAGCTATACTCACAGCATATTAAATTAACATTACCTATTCAATTATTTTTGATGAAGTCAATTAAACGTATTTAACCGACCGCGCTCCATATCTACATTTAATTTAATTAATAGCCGGTAATAATTTCAACATTAAAGTATAATATGAACACCTCACATTTTTTACATCAATATGAATGTTCAAAGACAACTAAGTAAATAAATTTGTGTAATGACTAAAATGCATAACCGAATGCATTGGCAAATATTTTTATTTAAAATATGATTTAGTATATAAACAAGAAATATTTGTTCTCACTATAAAAACGAGTTATTTTTAAGATCAAGACCGTGCAAACACGTCATTTTACTATTAAAAATAAAAAAGAAATGTTTTCGAAGTGCAATTAAATTTTACACAGCCCGTCATTTTGCATTCATAAATAATAATATCGTAACTATGCGGGTTATGCAGAACTAATTGATTGATTAATTTTATTGAAATTGATCTACGATTCTACTCAAAAGCATTGTCTTATTCAGAGATTTTATGAATTGTATGGTGTCCTTTTTGTCCGTTTCATGTACGTTTGTGAAGTCTCCCTCGATACAGAATTTATTCCTAGTTCTCGCGCCTTTAAAAAAAAAGCAAAGGGGCTACAAAATTGTGGGTGAGCAGAAATAAACTTAGAATTAGGCATACCTTATAGTAGGAGATCAACTCTCTCATAACTTTGATTATAACATTTTTAAAGTACCACAAATCAAACTAAATTATGACGAAAATCAGACAGAAATAACAATCTGTACTGTTAAAAGCTACAACAGCTGACTAATACTTCCACAGTTTCGTACAATAATCTGAAGTTACACCAGATGTGATCGGATTTAGAGATAAGATTCCCTTATAGGCAACGGAACTTATGGGATGAAAAACACTAGCAACTGTCCATTTGCGTGGCATATGGGAAGGAAAAAAAATGGAGCAAAAACTTTTACTTGACTCTTGAAGCTCCTTTTATCAAACATGTGGTGTAAAACGAAACGAAGTTGTTCTGTGAAAATGCTAATCAAGATTTTGTATACGTGTTAACGATGCCTACTTTAGGAGAAAAATTATTGTTCATGACAAGTTGAATAAAAACAGTAAATTAATCTTAAAAAATGAAGTTTATGAGTAGTGTAGTAGAGTAGTGAGTAAAGAAAATACGATTCATACCTGTATACTCCATAATGTTTTCCTGAAGCTCTGTCCCCACAAATTGAGCAAAGATGCTTCGAACCACTCAAAGGATGGTTCGGAGGATAATTCTTAAAAGGTGGGGGTGGAGTAGAATCGTCTCGCATGCCGTCTAACATCGCCGTGTCTGGTTTCATCTCCGGCGGTGACATCGGGGACATAAAGCCACCCTCCAAGTTCAGCCCTGCAATAAAAAAGTCTAATTACAGTTTGAGCATTATGAAGATCTTAATTGCCAACTATAGGCACAGACGTAAATTTTACTTTCGGCTATTATTTACTGGTATCATACTGACCGTAACTGCTTTATTAAAGTAATACTGTTAGATTTCTTTATATGTAGATTTTAAACTGTTTACGTAAAAGTATTATTTTCAAATTGTTTTTTTTTTTTTTTTTTTTTTTTTTTTTTTTTCCAAAACCAACAAAACCGGTTCATTAGTACAAGGGATTCAGTAGCAGACAAAAAACAAAATAAACAGCCACCGAACCACCCTCGTTCGGCGACGTATTAGAAAACTTTTGAACACGACTTAAGTTGCTTAAAATCTCTATGGAATAGAATCTACTAACCGATTTTATATTATGATGATTAAATCACTACATTTCTTTAAAAAATTAAAGGGGCTAATGTGTTATACTAAATATGTAATATTCATATCGATACCGACTAAACATAGTTCAGTGTAATTATGAGTTATAAACAAAAAGTATGACTACTAAAGTAAAAAGTTTAGTAGCTACTGAAAGATTCTACTCATATTATTTTTTACCATTTATACTTCATGCCTTTTGAACGTTAGTGCATTTTGAAAATGGAGAATCATTTAACGTTATATAGAAAGCACACAAAATGACAACAAATAATCTAGACAATAAGGTACTGCGGGTTCAGGTAAAATGGGCTACAAAAGAGGAGAAGGAACAGGTATAGTGGACATCATCACTGGTAGCTGTTTTTACCAAAAATAGTTTACTAAACGCGAACACGAACTCTTTACGTGTCGAATTCACGTAGAACTTTACTTTGAATATTTTTGGCAGTATTTGTTAAGACGCATGTATAATACTTAGTAGTATTACATAATATTTTTACATTTTTGTTTCTTTTAAGTTTCGTTTCAAGAGGCTTTTTAGATTCTGACATTAGAACTTGACTAAAAATAATTAAAATTCATTAACAATAACTGGGTTCCGAGGTTTACCTAAACTTAAATTTAACATTACAACAATTTATAGTTCAACGAGTCATTGAGTATTAATAAAAACTCAATTACAAGGTTCTCAATACGGCACGACTTACTCGTTATTTGTTTGGGACTTACATAAGAATCATCCGTAACAAAACAATTGTGCTTGGCTTACCACGAAAGACGAAGTTGTTTAGAGTAATAATTTATAAAAAAAGATTTTAGAAGCGAATTCTTTGATCTTGAAAATCTAAAATTACAATATTTAACATTTCTTTCTCACTATTTTTACTAATATTTCTTTTGCTTGTTGTTTTCCACAGAGCTCGTCTCACGTCTTTGTCTAATAATAATAAATAAGTTTTTTTTAACCTACACATGAAGACGATACGAAAGTTGAACCGACTTCAAAAAATACTAAGAAAGAGCACTAACAATTTAAAAATAATTACAAATCTACTTACAAAAACTAAAATGAGTGCGAATCTCAATACAACAGGTAACATTATAATAGCAATAAATACCTGCTAGTAAATTTTTTGTGCTTAGTATTGTTTGAAGTCGTTTCAACTTTAAAAAAAAGGATTGATTTTGCCATTTTCAGTGTAAAATACGTTTTTCATGAGTATATATGATATTTAAAAGACTAGCCACTGCAATGTACCTATATTACCAAACTGTAGTATGTTTATTTATTACTTTTTGTTTACAGTTTGTTTATTACTGTAAATTTAATATAGTCTATATTTAGTTTAAGAAGTCCGTTTCTTCATTTATATAAGGTAGTAAGATGTTATATTTGAAACCGAAAATAAATTGTTTTCCACATTACTTAATTGAACTTAATTGAACTGAACCAAAGGGGAAATATACTCTACCAAATAAAAAAGGAATTTTCCAAATCGGTTTACTAAAGAAAAAGAGTTTGGAGGTAATAAACGTGAAAATAATTGCCTAACAAACATTTTTTTTGCCTAAATGTTTTGTAATCTCATACTTTACTTTCTCATTACTTTCTTGTGCAGATTGCTCTGTAACCCAACCCCCAACAAATATCTTAAAAGAACGAAACAATATATATTAGATATATAATAATAGATTAATATATATTATTGCAAGAGTTATCTTCTAACTCTTAAAGGTCAAGAACTCTTCCATCACCAGCTCAGCAATGAGAGATAACAATTGCCAAACTCAAAATACCTGTATAGAGAAACAACCTAAACCACGTTGTCGGGGCTATAAAATTTGAGGGTTTTCCTCCATTTCTCTGGGATTTCATCATCAGATCCTGATCTGGTGGTAATAGGACTGCCTCGGGAGTATTCTCTTTCGATTACAAAAATAATTTTGAAAAACGGTCCACAATTAATGGAGATATCGCATAACAAACAAAAATAAAACAGCCGAATTGAGAACTTCCTCTTTTTCAAATCAGTTAAAAAAGGTTTTTGCAAACACGGTCTTACGGCCTTGAGCTCACTTAAGTCTGTTGTCACTTATCCTACTACATATAAGCATTAAAGGGAGTATGTATGAAACACGTTATAAGGCATTCATAAAATTCATTACTTTATATAGTGTTTGAGTTCATTAAAACTAATCAACTCTAGAAAATATTCTTTAAACCGAAAATACTCGTTAATTCAATTATTGCATAAAGTACAATTCTAAGGTTTTTTTGATTTGGAGTTGCCCGACTCGGTAGATAACGGCTATTTTCCGACGTGCGTCAATATTTTCGTGAATTTTTAAAATGTTTTAGAATTAAAAGTATAATAATTACATACAAATCCCTCACTGTGAAATATCAGTCTGATATATCTATTTAATAGGAAATAACTATTACAATTTAAAAATCGGTTTACACCAGGACCAGACCATAAAGGACCAAAAAGTTCTAATGATTCAAGAGAACCTGTTCCTGCTATGTCACTGGTTGGAGAGCGTAATGCAAGTACATCCTACATGTATTTAAGGAGGGTAAAGAGTACTAACACATTCATTGTAGGTAAATTAATTTTTTATCTGTCCTCACAACAATATTATATTACAACACTTTTAGTGAAAAAGTCCAGCCCTTAGATTCTTTATCGTGAAATAAAATATTAGTTCAAGCTTAATTAACAAATATCTTACGACAGTAAAATTGTTTTGCATTAATTAATGGGTTACCTGATTCTTATGTATGTTGTTTGAGTTGTATACCAATCGAGCACTTAAAAGACGACTAAGTTCTTACGCCATCATCATAAATAAGATATCATCAAATACATCAGATCTGACTTTGTAAATTTATATTTGGAATGCAGCAAACCCAGTTTGAAACATAAGTATTTGTGTATGGTTACGTAAACTTGAATAGTTGAACACTTGATTGCCACTTGATTAGTAATCGGTAACAATAGTATAGTTGCCAAAAATCGTCACTGCATGTTTCAAAGTATAATGTAACGTTTACGAAGGTTTCAGTAGCCTGCCCACAGGCATTATACACTCAAGGCAGACCAGATTTACCCCTCTATAAATTCTGACAAGTCTGGTCTAATCCGGGTATGAGATGATTACCAAACAGGAGTAACAATAGGAATTAATTTACATTGACTTCAAAAATTAATTCACAGTAAACTGTATATTGTTTCATATAAGCCAAAAATCGATCGAAGAGGCGTGCAATAGGAGAGGCCTATGTCCAGCAGTTAACTGCGATAGACTGATGATCACGATGAAACTGCATATTTGTGGATAAAATCAACTACTGTATATACGTCCAAGACATTTTCATAAATCCCAATAGAATCGTCCTTTATGCTCATTCAACTTCAACAACCCTCACCGTGGTTCAGATGTAAGGTGCGCCGTTTACCTAACGTCGTCTAAGTTAGACTGACTTTAGACGTTGGAATGATTTTCTAATTCAGCTTGCAAAGAGGTTCTTATGCGTGGTAAATTAGGTGTTTTTTTGCTAAATTTCATCTTTATCCACTTGTTAAAGTATAAATCGTGGCGTTACTTTCCAACACTTAAGGCTCGCAATATCCGCCCATCCGGCGAAAACTTTATCAGTTGTCAGTTTTATGTGTAATATTTGTGATATATTGATTCGATAATTTACCTCGAGAATAATATTCAAGAATGATATACATATATATATAATAAAAAGCAGATCGAGAAAAAATGAGACAACAACCAAGATCTAATCCGTTTAACTTACGCAAAAGTTACAACGTGCGGTAGATGATCCTAGAAGGTAGTAAAGATATTTAAAAAATATTTCTCATATATGAATACACAGAGACACAGAACAGATTCTGCCAAAAACCGACAAAATATATTCTCAAATAACTATAAACTTACTCTCAATTTATTACAGTGAAAACAAAAAGACTAAAATAATATTTTACCTTAGTAGGCTTTCTAAACGTCAAAAGTGGCAAGGTCTTTGTTAACTATTTGGACAACTACCGTTTTGGCCCTTTGAAGAAACCCTCCAAGTGCTTGCCGGTTTAATTCGAAATTTGTTTCATAAACTTTATTTTTAAGATCCGTTTTGTGTAAACAATTTTCCAGAAATAAATTGATTGATTCAGACCAGAATACAAGACACCTAACACATATTTTTTTAATTTACGTATTTATACACCTACTAAGTAATAAATGTATCTTGTATGCTCTTAAGCCACTATTTAAATTAGGTTTAGTTTTTTTGCTACTGCTATATTATTAGAAGTATTTCTAAGAATTTCATATACCTATATCTCAATTTGATATCTGTATTTCCTAATAAATAAAATTCGCATATCTATGTATATACTTGTAGGTAACTTGCTACAGATAACAACTCAAATGTTTCTAAATGGCATTTACTTTCAGAGAGATAAATGCATAGCGGCTCAGATCAATTTTTAATTCTAGTATATTATGAATATGTCTTGGTCAGCGTGGTATAGTAGGTCGAAACTTCCTTTCTAAGGAGAAGCCTATGTCCAGCAGTGAACTATTAAAGGCTGTTGATGTTATGATGATGTAATGGATATGCCTTGTATTTTTTTATTCCATGAATTAGTGGCATAAGACAATCATATTTACATATAACATAATAGAAGTTAATACTTGCGTTAATCTAAACATCGTTTTTCGACGATCAGATGGAAATAAAAACATTTTATTAGGTACTATCTTTTGTCCACGGGTCGAGGTAAAAAGTTGTCTCTAGCACTTAGGTATAATATACCCTTCTAACAGTGAAAGAATTTCCAAAATGGGATCTTTGGAATGGGAATAAGAAAAACTCGCAAACTTTGCCTCCTTATAATATTTTCTCTATATGTGAGGAAACGTTGTATTTGTAAAAAATTAAAACAAAGCTGAACTGTCCGTCAAGTTCAACTATATTACCATTTAAATTTTGTAGTGTTTTATATGTACTAAAAAAGTGCTAGTCTGTGTTTTGGTATGAATAGTTATGCAACGTTTTACTACTTAAAATTATTTTTATTCATCTGAGGTCCGTTTGCAAGGTCACAACCGTGACGGACGTATACGATATAATAGATAACTCTACCCAACTCTCGGACTTTAAGATACGGGTACATCATTTAAATTTGTGTAAAGCCACAGCTCTGTTTCAAACTTTGTTTCTATATGGCCTAGATGATGATAGTGAGAAGAGAAAATGGTTTTTGACGATCTGTCAGTCATGCAGCCAGTAATTCCAAAATTTACGATTTTCAGACGTTAACGCTATTACTGCTAGAGTTTTAAAATTTGGCATGTGGTAAGAAGAGCCTTATATGGTACTTTAAGAGGTTTATCCGATCCTGACTGAAAAGGGAATAGTTTAAATTTAATACTAGAGTGCTTTCAGCTCAAGAATTAGCTTGTTCTATTCCTGTTGCAGTTCTGTGCAAATATTAGGTTTTTACATATGAAGTTGTCTTTTTTATGTAAGAGGGGGCAGACGAGCAGACTTGTCAAATGATGGAAAGTGGCCATCGCCGCCCATGAGCGTCTGCGGAAGGAGTACACTTTTTTCTTGGAGGTTTGAAGGTCGTATCGGTCCGGAAATACCGCAGACGATAACCCGTTTCTCAGATTGGTTGTGCGCGGCAAAAGTGTCTCGAAAAGTGCACAGTAGTGGAGCGCCAACTATCCAGGTAATGAGGATGAAAATTTTGCCATGTTGAACGATGGCGGAAATTTGCGGCTGGTATTAGTACGAACAATTCCTCGAAGCACTCTCCATGATATATGCGATAGAGAATGCAGAGTGAAGCCACATCTATATATATATATATATATATATAAACATTTAAATAAGACGAAGAAGATAATTATCGAGTTAATTCAACTGTAAAGTTTGCAAACCATTTAATGATTACTAAATATAAATGTTGAAGTTGCTCAATTCTCAATCTAAGTAGTGTGATTTATAATGTCATCAATATAAATAAACTGACAAAGAGTATCGTAAGAGCACTTTCGCACTACGTCCGATCCGAATACGATCCGAACCCGTGAAAATACGGATCTAGAAATCATGGGCTGAATTCAAATTTCTGATCCGTGATTACGGATTTGGCAGACTGACTAACTGACTTAATTCGTATATTGTTTACGCAATATTGCGAGCTCTGATTCTAATCCAAGCAATTCAGGGGTCACCTTTTAGCATACTTTATTTAAAGACACAGAAGTAAAGAATTATGGGTGCGTTCATTCAAACAATAGTATGGCTACTTTGGTCCGTCAATAATCTTGTCCGGAATGGATATTCACGGATAAAGGAAAGAAATCGGATGACGGAAGTCGGATCTAGTGCGTAAACTACTATAGAAGTAGTGTTACGACTACTTTGATCTATATTTTCACGGATTCGGATCGGATTCTGATCGGACGTAGTGCGAAACCGCTATAAATCATTTTTTAATCTCTTAGTCACTTTATTACCTACTTTGCAAATAAACCACCTTTTTAAGGAAAGGCTTAAGTCCAGCAGTGGACTATTAAAGGCTGTTGATGTGATGTGAAATAAATAACATGTTTTAACTAACTCAAAATAGTGGATATATGTATGTTTATGTACAAAGTGGCTGAATCAGTTCTCAATATAACTTAGTGTACTTATAGCTATTGACAGAAACGGAACAATGGCAACTAGTCCAGAAACCTTGGATAACTTAAGGCGCCTATTAGCATTTATTTGCTAAGTGGGCACACTTCAATAGTAGGAAATACTTTTCTTTAAATCCGAATACACATCACGTTACATCAACAGCCTTTAATAGTCCACTGCTGGTCATGGGTCACTCCTTAAAAAGGAGGTTTTGACTTTACGCTTGCCAGACGGGTTGATGTAGGATTTATCCTTCTTTTTGCAGTGCTGTTGTCCTGGGTTGTTTTGCGCCCTTAGTCGGCTCTTACGACACCCACGGGATGAATAGGGGGTAGTGACGTTCCGTATTCTTAATCCGTCACTAAACGGACTCCGAATACATTTTGATGATATTAATAAATCGAACATGAGAGTTAACTACTTAATGCAATGCAGGATACTGTATTGAATATTTACCAGGGATGAGATTTTTTTTTAGGGAAACATTGATTGCATTCTTAAGCATGCAATTAAATTTTAAATTACAAAAGTAACATGAACTATATAATTATAGATAAAATTGAATATTTACATTGTATGTCGAGTGAGCAGTCGATATTAGAAGGCGCTGGGAGCGGTTGCAGCAGATTTGGTGGCGTAGGTGTCATCGGCTGCGGTGGTTGCCCCGGTTGTAGAGGCCGTGCCCAGTTGATAAGCGCTGTAACCGACATGGTCGGCTTGTCTTTTTTCGCCACGCTAGACATGGCCACGCACAAGCATCCTCACATCACTAATAACAGCATCCTCACTGCACTTCAGAGAAGTAGGTAATAAAACTGCACAAACTCACGAGTTACACGGGCCGCTTAGATCGCAATGAGGTGGTCACGATCAATTTACGCTATGAAAGATCTAACCACGAATTACAGCTGTGACGCAAAGCTTCTAAATAATAGCAAAATATGTGACTGAGCGTGCGACAACGGAGATACGAACAAAAGCATCAGTGCCGGAGCGGAGATAAAGCAAACAACGTTGTGACATTGTGATAGCGACTGTTATTGCACCCAACGTGACGATATCGCAATGCAACTCGTCAACAATGTACCACAAACTTCTGCGCTGTTGCCGAACCAGTGACTAATGCGCACTAAAATTCAACAAGCTCGAATTTGGCAAAAAATGTAGGTACCCGTCAACTTCCGCGCGGTTACCGGCGCGAAGGTCTCACCCAACTTGCTCAAGGTCCGCATACAATCTTATGTGCATAAATCTTATTTTATGACGAAAACGAGTTGCTATATGCTGCGCACTTTTAGCTTTTAAAGCTGCTTATGATTAATAACTGAACCAGAAGTGTAATCTAAAAATTGCGTTATATGTTAGAATAGAATCATTTAAAATAATGTAAATAATTGTAGTTGTTAGCTGTTGGCCTTCATGATTGTGGCTGCGCGTTTCTGTAATTAAGTTTTACGTCACTCATAGACCGAACTCCCTGCGATAGCCTCTACTACATATAATTTCGCTATGTCACTTAGTTGATAAAACCTAGCTCGATTAATTAATATATATAAAAAATAAATTAAGTCTTCCGATAAATCTATTACTATATATCTATCTAGCTATAAGTGCAATGCACAAAATAATAATCTTTAAAGACTCATCGTAACATTATATTACTTTAAGCTACAGATATTGTAGGATCAATGTTGATAACGCTAACCCAGTCCTCGAGGTAGATACGCACACCGGTTAACATTGTGTCAGGCAACCAAAGTCCACCAACATGGAACGACACGTCTTACATTTTGCGCATATTTCATTTGGAGTATCAAGAATGTATCTATTCAGCTCAGAAATTGCAATTGAATGAAACCTTAAAATCACAAGAGCATTTTTAAAATTAATCGACACTAAAATTTAATTTTAGTTACGTACTAAAACAATATTTATTCTTAATTCTTCAATGTTATATTTTTCCTTTTTTTTTACTTACTTTTTATGTGCATTAATGGAGGATAGAAAAGCCGCACTTTCCTAACGTTTCACGGTAGGTAGTCGATTTCAAACAATTGTTTATACGTAAATACATGCGGCCTTGGACTTGTGCTGTTGTGCGTGCGAGGGACGTCCGTTGCACGTGTTGTGGGAGCTCACAGTACATAATACAAAAAACCTTAGATATCCAGTAATATTAAGCTTAACGTTTGTTTATTTATTGAATGTTAAAGTATGAAATATAAGCTTGTTATCCTGGTTCTCATGATTAAAAGTCCTACTTTCTAACAAGTAAAGACATAATTGTTTAGAGTTAAATTAGATAGATATTAGCAATTTGTTTGTTGTGTATCAGCTGTATCGTATCGCAATAAATAAAGTTTTGTTCGGATAAAGAAATAACAAGGTAAGTAATAGATTATATCTTCGAAGTATAGCGAATAATAGTGATTGATTTAGATGACAAAATAGGTGGTATAAGATTTTTAGTCCAATGTAGCGAAAAACCAACAAATGTTCTATTACAAAAATAAACAAAGGTATAAATGCTAGAAGAAAATGACTGAGTTGTATTACTTAATACATTTTAATTGTTTAATTACTTTATATATTATATTTAAAGACCTAAACTAGCAGCCGAGTAAAAAATATCTTAATATTGTGTGGATGTTTTGTGGATTTAAAAACAATTCCCCGACGCAGAGATTCATCTATATCTATTAACGTTCGAATTTACGAAGGCGAGTTTATCTATTACATCACTTTACCCGAACCTGTACATCATGCTGAGTCCTGGACGACACCGGCTTTTAGTAATTGATGGCCTTCTTCAGAAGTATATTTTTAGGTAGGTGTATATCTGGATGGAAATGCTACTAATACTTTCACTGTCAATAAGATGAATAGACTAGAGAGCTACAAGACGCCGACACATTCGAAAACATTTTATTGTCCTGAACGGTGAGAATCGCCCTAATGGCTAGGCGAACAATAATTCACTTGACGATATAGAATATTACATATCTTGTCAACTCGCTTACACAAATAACTAATGTCTTTTGAACCGGCATATAAATCTATAACTAAGTATAATCATTTTAATAACGATCGTTGAAGTTATCGTGCAAATATTCTAAAATAGATACGAGAAGCCGATTAGTAAGAATTAACGCAGCGTTCAGTAAGCGTAGAACGTCTGTCGCGTTATCAAGGAATGTATCCACTTTCCTACGCTTTCTTTGGTTTGCATGACATGCGTGCATACGTGCATATGGGGACTGTGGAGATAGAAGTGCGCACCCCACTCCGCCGCCGCTATCGATCTGCGCCGACCTTGACTAGACGTGCGCCCGCTGCCAGCCGCAATTAACATTGACAATAGCGACGCACGCGCAGCACCTTATCACAATATACAATACCTACATACACTTTCCCTTTCTGTTTCGCACGGTATTTTTGTCTTTCACTTAAAACATTGGATTTAGATGGGTGTGATTCGGAATTAAAGGTAGAAGTTATTCCTGAATTAGATATGTGCCATCAGGCGCTATAAGGTTGGTTATTAGTCATTATATCCTAACTGGTTCAAGTCAAGAGTTTATGGGACAAAGTAGTAAGTTTAGTAGTCGTAAAGTCAAATGGGTCGAATGGTTGTCTTAGCGTTGGCCCGCGAGCATGCGACATGCGGGTGGTGGGAGTACGGTGAGTCAAAGGAGCGGGGGCGGCGCTTATGCGTACCTTCGTCCGCGAGATATAATCAAATGGAACAAGGGAATAGGGCGAAGATGGCCATGGATGATTTAATATCCTAATACAGGTGGTTCTTGTTCAGGCAACCAATCGTTTATCTTATTTTTTGCTCTGGTGGCCAGGGTACAACCATCAGTAGATTAGTAATATGAAGATTACAAACCAATCGACACCGACACTTTGTGAGTGAGTGTGTAAAATCAGATTGTGGAGTAGTAAATGATTTGTATTTTTTATTACAAAATATATTTGACAATTACCTATCAAATGCTTTTTTTAACCTTCCATTAGCCCCCTCCCCACCCTTACAACTGAAGTGAAACTTCAATGAATGTCGGAGAAGATAATTTGGGGCGGTAACTAGAGATTAGTTTTTGTGGCTTCAATCGCGTTAATTACTAATGTGTCAATTAATTTTGCCGGGGTGAATGTAACCTAGGTAATATTATTGACTATAATTCATCATATTGCCCAATTTCATCCAGATCCATTTAGCCGTTCTGGTGTTACTAATTACCAAACGTCGGTATACTGTTTTCAAAACGTGATTTACGTATCATAATACAAGTCTAAAAGACACTTTGGGATAATAATAATAACTTGACATATGATCTTGCTCATTATACTGTCACATCATATTTCTGCCCTACCCTACCAGTCAGGACAACTAAACTACTAGAGCAACATGCCAATTAGTCAGCCAGTTTATGATCATATAACATAATATCATCCTAATAAACTGAAATAGTCCATTTCATTAGAGAGAGAACTAATTAACAAAATGATACCATTGAGGTAAACCATGTACTGGTTAAATAAAAAACAAAACTAGATCATTTTATCACAGCGTTACATAATGACACGAGACCTTGGCCGTGACCAAGCCAGTGTACTGAGTAACACTTCCCGCGGCGTGACGTGACGCTCGCCACTCGCGTTCGCGATTAGGTACACGCAACAACAATAAACTAAAAGTTAAACATACAGCTTACACACTATTGGAATATACTTTAATATGAAGTTATTTCGGGTTAATCAGAGCAATATTTCTCTATATAGATGATCCAAAGAAAATTTTTGCAAAAAAATTACGGGCTCAAACAATCCACTAATAAACTTATTAGTCTACAGGCTTTTAAAAAGAAGTACATTTCTTTCTTACACTATTACGTCGAAATAATTTCTAACACAAAAACGCTGTAATCCGAATCAGTTTCTTCATGCACCTTTCATGAAGAAACTGATTCGGATTACAGCTCAATGTTTTGAATGTAACTAAATTGTTCATTATTTGCCGATGATATTGGAAAAATGCTTTTGAAATAAATTGGTTTTCTTTATAAATATTTTTTTGAAAATATTCTTTAAATTACCACTTTAAAATACCACAAGTTCTTACCATTAAGTAATTTAAATTATAATCTGTTTACAATATGATATTTGCTTTGGTCAGGATGATCTGAGGCTCCTAACGGCACTCTAGAATTAATTAATTTCTCAACTTTTTTTGTTCTTTGGTTTTGTTCTTTGACCGTTTCTGTCAAAGAACAAAAAAGTTGAGAAATTATTCAAATACCAAAATAAAGAAAATGTAATAAAAACATAATATAATCAATCAATAAGGTATATGAGGATTTCGTCGTCCGTGTAGTGATGGACTAAGAATACGGAATGTCACTACCCCAATTCATCACGTGGGTGTCGCAAGAGCCGACAAAGGGCGCAAAACAACGCAGAACACCAGCACTGCAAAAAAGAAGGAAAACTTGACACAAACCAACCAACCCTGGCCAGCGTGGTATAGTAGGCCAAAACCTCCTTTCAAGGGAGAGGCCTATGTCCAGCAGTGGACTAGTAAAGGCTGTTGATGTGATTATGATTTTGTAATTGACACTGATATACAAAGGAATGAAGTGTAATTTGACGATACTGAATAGTGATGATAAATTTGCAATTGTTCATATCTAAAATATTTTACGTTAGTTTAACGTTTAAAGGTAACGATTAAACCCTA